GCTCAAAGAGTCTGGAGAACCTCAAGTAGGCCGGCTCATGAAGTAATTGAAATGTGTGCCACTACACGTAATGAAATGCTTCGCCGGTGTGGCTTCTCGCCGAGCCAGTGGTTCTTAGGCCGTGAGTCCAAACATCCCGGTCTCCTCAGAGACATTGGTGAGCAATCCAATCTCGCCAGCCAGAGCCAAGTCCTGACTGAGCGAGACTTTGCCGAACGTGTCTGTGTCCAGGAGGAAGCAGCCAAAGCCTTCATTGAAGAACATGCTAAGGATACCTGGCGTAGAGCCATAGTAGGTAAGAGCAGGCCCATGAGAGGTCCATACACTGTTGGCCAGCTTGTTTACATGTTCCGTAGGAGAAGTCGAGGACTGCTTTCAACTAGGCATGGAGTATGGCTAGGCCCCGGCCGAGTCATCGGAACAGAGAGTTTCTCTGACTCCGTCACTCCCCGCGTGCTTTGGGTTGCATGGTCCGGCTACCTCTATAAGTGTTCTCCTGAAACCTTGAGGCCCGTACCAGAAGATGAAATGCAATTCAGGCACATGGCTAAGGAACTCTGTGAAGGTAGGTTGCAACCCGACATAGAGGAAGCCGAGGCCTCGCTTGATTCCAAGCCGGGCCAATACATTGACCTGTATGAGGATGCTCCCGATGATGAAGACTTCCAGCTCTCAGGTGATGAAAATCAAGATGATGATGATCCTGAGGATATGCAGCCTCCCCCAAAGGCTCGTAGGCGAGTAGATAGGTCGGATGCCTACTGGAAGTCCCGTAGTCAAGGAGCCCCTCCTCTAGGAAGCATTCAGGAACTGCCTGAAGATATGGAAGAAGATCGTTGGGGTACCAAGCGTGTTGCAGAACCTTCTCAGGAGGTGCAGGAACCACCAAGTCAATCCCGTAGAGTAGAGATACAGGAGAGTCCCTCAGCTGAATATACTCCTAGTATCGCCCCTCCTGAAGAGCAACCGCAGGCCGTGCCCGATCCCGAACCGTCCGCAGGCCCAGCCGAAGTAGATCAGCCGGAACCAGCAATCCCACCAAGTTCCATGGATGTAGAACCTAGTGCAGTTGATATTCCTGTGCCTGATGAGGACGAGCAGTTTTGTGTGACCGAGTCCCAGACTCACTCACTGTATGATGCCTTCGCCTGTGAAATCTCGTTGGACATCCGTCCTGAAGACATCACAGACACTCCCATGTGCTTGTGGCCAATCCTTGAGGAGTGTTGCCATGTCGAAGTGCCAAGAGCCAAGCAACGAAGGGTTGAGATTAGCTTCCGCAAACTCTCACCCAGTGAAAAGCCCTTGTTCTTAAAGGCCATGTAAAAGGAATGGAATTCTTGGGTTGAGAATAAGGTAACCTCCATTTGCAAGGCTCGCGGCATCCCGACAGAGCGCATCATCCGTGCACGCTGGGTACTGACTTGGAAGAAATCCTCAGACCCCGATGATAAGAATAAGACCCCGAAAGCCCGCCTTGTTCTTATAGGATGGCAGGATCCAGAGTTAGGTAAAATCGCTACTGACGCTCCCACCTTGCGTAAGGAGAGCCGTAGTTTGATCCTTTCAGTGTGTTCCGCCAAAAAGTGGAAACTATGGGGTGCTGACATCAAGACAGCTTTCTTGTCTGGTGACCCATCGTGCCGAAATGTGTACTTCCGGCCACCGCCCGAGATCAAGGAATGGATGAACCTTGATGATCGGATCTGATGCGCCTCGAAAAGGCAGCCTACGGGCTAGCCGAAGCTCCGAGAGCATGGTTTCTCAGGCTTACCAGAGAACTTCGTGCCGCTGGACTGACCCCGTCAGAGCTTGACCCTTGTATTTATTACCTCCGTAGGGGCAATGCCTTGTTGGGAATCTGTGGGATTCACGTAGATGATATCGTAGGTGGAGGAACCCCTCAGATGGATGCAGTAATTGCCCAACTTCGTAAAAGGCTTCCCTTTGGTGATTTCCGGACTTTCACAATCCGGTATACGGGAGTTGAAATCAGACAGGACTTCCAGTCGTATGCAATCGAGGTAGGACAAGAGGCATACATAGATGCCATGGAGCCTGTGCACACCAAGCCTCTCGGGAGTGCCAGTACTCCGTTGCGTGATCCTCGCATGCTTAAAGCCTGTGCCGGTCAACTTGCATGGGTAGCAAATAGCACTAGGCCCGATCAGTCGTTTCTTGCTTCGTACCTGCAAGGCGTTCAAGATAAGGGTACTGTGTCTCATGTCACATTGTATAACAAAGCCTTGCGTGAAATGAAGGACCAGAAACTCGCCTTGAGGTACCCAAGTCATGTGCCGATTGATCGCTGGTGCATCGTGTGCATTTCCGACGCCGGTTGGGGGACACGCGAAAGTGGAGAATCGCAAGGAGGGTACTTGTTGTGCCTCGCAGACAAACTGATCTTGGAGCAAAAACAGGCCCCCTGCTGGGTAGTTGATTGGTCTTCAAAGAAGCTTAGAAGAGTTGTGCGTTCTTCGGTTGCTGCGGAGACCCTCGCCAGTCAGAATGGTCTGGATGCCATTGAGACGTTTCAGGCCCTCTTGGCCGAAGTGCTGCATGGTACCTCACCACGTGCCTTCCGAGACCAAAAGCCAAATCAGGCCGCTGCAATCGTTGTGGACTCCAAGGGATTCTATGATGCAGTTACCAGATCCTGCTGCAGTCAAGCTGTTTCAGTTGAGCGTCGCCTCATGATAGATTATGCAATCGCACGTGAAACCATGTCAACTCAGAATGTCATCCCTTTCTGGGTAAATAACTTGGTCATGTGTGCTGATGCATTGACTAAACTCAAAGGTGAAAAAGAGATGCTTAGGAACTTGATCAGCAGTGGAAAGTATTGCATCAAGAAGTGTAAGGAGTCGGGTCGTAAGGAGAAGGCCCGGCAAGAGGCCCAGAATTAAATTGTTGTTTTCCATGCATTCAACGTTCAATTGCCGTGTGGTAGTGCAATTGTGTGGGAAGCGTTCATCGCGCTTGTGTATATCTTGTTTATATTTGTATAGCACCATCAGGCAACAATCAATGCGTACTCCGTGAGCCGATTCGCACCCCGAGCTTTTGATGCCTGATCGTGAACTCCTTTGTGCATAGAGCCATGTCTGCCAGTGATGCTCCCCGTGCAAAGATGGTCAAGGGTTATGTGCATGACCATGCCAGCCAGCCGCTTACGCAGGCCGAGCTGAAGACCACTGCCGGGCTTCTCACACGTGCCGTGAAGTTCCATCAGTGTGCCCAGCTTGTGGAAACATGCAATGACCTTGGTTGTGAAGTAACCTTCTCAAGTGGCTCATGGCCGACATCGATCCCGTCTGGCATGAGCGATGCCTCAAAGCGCCTCCGTGACCCAGCACTCACCAGCGTGCCCGCTGATGATGACAGCTTTGAGTTGGCCGACTTCCCGGATGACCCGCAGCCGTCCACGGGTAAGTCGATTTCGCCATACGAGAAGGATCCATGGGTGAATGCCAGCCGTCCCCTGCCTGAGGGAGTGAAGAGCTCAGCTCAGTGGGGCCGCACGCTTGTCACCATGCCGAAGTACGCCTCTCGCAAGTTCAACTACAAGGAGATCATCGAGGCTGCTGAGACAGATCCTGAGATCAGCAAGTATCTGACATGGATCAAAAGCACATACAAGAAGCAGGGCAGCACCCAGGCATTCGACTTGGCTGAGTATCTTAGGTTTACCTCTTGGGAGCCTGAAACTCAGAGCACCTTTCAGAGGACCTACAAGTAGTAGCTGGTGGCGGCAATCTGATCGAGGGCGTGTGAAACATGCCATCATGACATGGATTGGATCATCCGCTGCCACCAGGGCCCTTGAGCCGCTCGCGGCTAGGACAAAACAGTAGAGTGCTCTGCGCTCGATCACATAGACCCGGCTGACTCGCATGGAGCCCTGGAGTTTACCCCGATTCGCAACTCTGTGAAACGGGGAGCTCCATCAAACCCAGAGGTCCTCTCAACCATTTGCTGCGGACCGGCACATGTTGGAGGAGGAAAGTCTCTTTTTGTTGCATTGCCACCAGGGTGCTTGATCCTTGAAAACCAGGCTTACCCAAGTTTGAGGGTCAAGCAGGGTGAAGGAAGTTATGGAGGATGTCTGGGACAGAATTTGGCCAGAAAAGCCTGTCACTGAAGTAGAGTGATATGGAGTTCCTTCCTCCTGATTTGGCCTTTCCAATCTCCAAAGAGTTCCTGGGTATAGAGCATAGGCGCGTTCGGGCCGATTGTTTTTTAGCATAAATGGCACTGGTTTCAACTTGGTTCCAACCAATATTTCTCCTTTATGATGGTTGTAGGCATGCAGCTGAATCCCGCCTAAAAGTATAGGTTTCCTGTTGGAGGGAGGTATGCTAACCTTCCCAACACCTGGCATTTCAAGGTTTAAAACATCACCTTTGGGGCCAATAGTGAGTCTCCTGGGGGTGTGTTTAGGTCGCCCTAGTTGGAACCTTGAAGTTCCTTTGGGCGGTCGCCTAAGCAGAGAAATATCCCCTTGAGATCACTTTCCCACTAAACAAATGGCATTGATTGCTCTGCAGGTCCCATTGACAATCGTCTCTAGACAAAACATTGGTGCCCTAACTGTGGATTGCACTTGTCGCAGTCTTTTAGCAAGGGGAATCCACAAGTGGATTCGGCATCCAAAGCAACCCGGTCTGTCGTTTTCCCCTTGTCATCATTGTCTTGCATCTGTGCCCATTTCAAAAAAGATGATGATGGGAAATTTGAACAAATCCCAGGTTATTCTACAGGTGTATCCCCCACCCCGAAAAAATACAATACCTTGTTCGGATCGTATTGGCCTTCCTGGGATTACAGCTATGGATGCGGAACTGTTTAAACGAGTTCGGGTCGATTGACCCCCCCACCTCCTCGCACCGTGGGCCCAGGAAGGCGTGTCTTTTGTGAGGGTACCGGTTTTTTCTTCGGTTTTAAAGGAACAACCCCAAAGGGAAGACCATTGGAGGACCCCTAAAAAAAAACAGACCCAGGAATTGGTGCTGCTTCAACAAGGGCATCGGCTGCAAGTCGGCCACAAAAGAGCGCTTCGCATCCCGTGGGGAGGATTGGAGCGAGGCTACGGCGCCTTCATTCGCAAGACGTGGATTGGAGCACGCGACGGGCGTTTTTTTTCCGTGTCCCAAACGGGCGGTTTTTGTTTTGGACGGTGGATAAACATATTTTGGCAGCGGTTTTGTTGGAGTATGACTTGTTCCAAAGACGACCTTGGAAAAAGAGATAGTGCCCGCAGATGTGGCGCTGGACTTTTTCGGGTCTGTCCCGCACCACCACCCCCCCCCCCCTCACCCTCTTGAAGCAAGAGGGGGGGGTCCACCACCACCCCCCCCCCCCTTACGCAGCAACCCCCCCCCCTCACATCTTAAAGAAGGGGGGGGGGGTCCACCACCACCCCCCCCCCCCGCACAGCAAGCCCCCCCACCCTCAGGGGGGGAGATCCACCACCACCCCCCCCCCCCCCTGCACAGCAAGGGGTGGGGTTTGCACCACCCCCCCCCCCCGCGCAACTTTGAGGGGGGGGGTAACACCACCCCCCCCCCCCCACCTTGAGCAGCTGTGCAGCTAAATCTTGGTGCCATTTGTGAGCAGGGGTGCAACTACATCTTGCTACAAAAAATCTTCAAAAGTGGCGGGCAGCCCCCCTATGATGTTTCAAGGGTGAAGGTGTGATGATTCAAAGAGGGCGGGCGGATGTTCGAAGTGATGATTCGAGTAGAGGCGCAGTTAAAGCTTGTTGCCAAATGTACTAAGTAGCGGGGGGGTTGGGGGGGGCGGCAGCCCCCCCATGATGCTCGAAGAAGAGCTTGTTGCCAAATGTACTAAGTGGCGGGGGGGTTGGGGGGGGCGGCAGCCCCCCCCATGATGCTCGAAGAAGTGATGATTCAATTAGGCGCGCAATGCAATTTCTTTTTTTCAAGGGTGAAGGAGTGATGATTCAAAGATTGCGGGCGGATGTTCGGAGACATGCTTCGAGTAGGGGCGCAGCAAAATCTTGGTGCCAAATGTACCAAGTAGCGGAGAGGTGCGGTCAATCCCTGCAACAAATCTAAAAAAGCAGCTGGGGGGGATTCAAAGAGGGCGGGCGGATGTTCGAAGTGATGATTCGAGTAGAGGCGCAGTTAAAGCTTGTTGCCAAATGTACTCAGTACCGGGGGGGTTGGGGGGGGCGGCAGCCCCCCCCATGATGCTCGAAGAAGAGCTTGTTGCCAAATGTAGGGGGGTTGGGGGGGGCGGCAGCCCCCCCCATGATGCTCGAAGAAGAGCTTGTTGCCAAATGTACTAAGTAGCTAGCAGCAGTCGTTTCGGGTGGTCCACAGTCTTCTTTTCAGGCAAGCCCGAAAAGTGGTGACGGAAATGGAAATGGAGGGGGTGGTGGTGGTGGTTGCGTGGGTAGTGGTTGTGGGGGGGGGGGGTGGTGGTGGTGGTGATCATAGTTGGGTGGGGGGGGGGGGTGGTGGTTCTAGCAAAGGAAAAGATGTGGTGGGGGGGGGGGGGTGGTGGTTCTAAGAAGGAAAAGATGTGCAGGGTGGTGGTGGTGGCGGCGAAGGGGTTGGGGTTAGACATTGATGAGTCAAAGGTAAGAAGGGGGGGGGGGGTGGTGGTGGTGACTGGAAGCAACGCAGCGAGAGGGGGGGGGGGGGGTGGTGGTGCTGACGCCTGACCTTCATGGTGATCACGCCTGAAAAACAGGAACTCTCATCTAAAAGAGAAGGCCCCGAGACAAGTGCAGGTATCCTTATGCGGATGCCAAACTCGCGCCACCAGTGGCAAAAGGGCCCTCAAAAAACAGCCTTCCGCAAGCTTCAAGGCCTGGATGGCCTTGAAGTGGCTTCAGAAGCGACATTTTAGACTTGTTGCCGGAATTTGGATGTGTTTTTTGCAGACATCCGAAAGCAAGCATGCCATACCTTCTGGCATGGTTTCAGTGGTTTGCTGGGTGAAGAATATATTATTTCCCTAGGGGGAGGCGCGCATCCCGAATCACCTTTGCATTGGTCCTTGAAAGGGACAAATATCGGCCGCCAAAGTCCCAAATTGGGACCCATTCTTTTGTGAGCATCCGCCTTGCGAATTCTCGCGCGGTGTCCATGCCATCAGATGAGGAGAGGGAGGAGGATGGCTTCTTCTACCTGATCATCTTCTGCCTCATCCTGGGGCTGATGATCTCCTACTGCCGAGCAAAGGGCATCTGTGGCTTCAATAACGACTCGCGGTCCTACAGCTATGGACGGGGCCAGGCAGGTATGAAACATTTGACTGGTCAGCAGCACCCGGTTTGCCTTTTTGTTGGTGTGTTCGGGGCCCAAATGGTCGACCTTTTCTACTTACCAGGGTCACTGCCATAATATAATAATGTTTATTGATTCCAAACACTCTTAAAGGAAACCGTAATTTCCTCCAAACCTCCGACAAAGACGCGTGAGCCCGCCCTGGAAAGCCTTTCCCCTGGAAAGCCTTGCATGTGTTTGCACAACCTTGTTTCTGGGATCTCGTCAGACGTCATGTTGCAGTTCGAGCTTCACTAAATATGGACCAAATTTTGAAGGTGCCATTTTTATGTTGAGTGAAACTGAAGTTGGAGTCGGTTTCCATTTCGGGGGCACGTGGCTTTCAGACAGCCATATCGTCAGGCGACCAGCTACGGGCGGGGCATCTATGCAACGCTGGGCGCAAGGTATCAGCCGCCCTCCTTGCCTTGAGAGCGATGCCGGCATTGGACTCCGCTGGTCACGTGTTGTACCATGAACATGTTTTTTGGGGGGGGACTCTCTGAGGCGGCACACCATGATAAACCTGAACAGGTCCCAAAATGTCTCAACCTAGCTCCCCTTTCGGAGGCAAATGATCATCAGCAACATTTGTCTCTGTTGATCGTGACCTAAATCGACTCAAGTTAGTGCACACATACCCCACGACCACACACTAATTAGCGAAGCCTTAGTAGGTGAAGTGATCTTGGTGACCTCACTGTCTTGGCGACTCAAGGAACAGGTTTCATGCCATGCAAAACACAAGTGCCATTATTATGTAAGTGATTTCCTTTTGGTAGGGGATGCTTGAGATGAAATGATGAGGATGTCACCTGGGGATGAAACCAGCTCACCCATGATGGGATTCCAGCTTATGTACTATAGTCATTTGCCCCTTTGCTTGGAGGAAATTGAAGTACCGCACCCCAAGAAGTCAGTGGCTGAGTCGAAGGGCCTGAAGTGAAGACCGCTTCGGGCGAAGAGACCAAGCGCGAGCCCCGGCCGCCGGCCTCTCGCGCGCTGAAAAAAGGACATGTGGCATAGGGCCCGCTAGGCTTCCGCTTTGGGATTGGGGGCCTTTGGGTGATGTTTTTAGCGGGGAAAAATGGGATTTGTCACAGATTCACAGAGATATGGGTGCTGAATATGCCATATTGATTGCCCAACAGGAAGCCAAAGGGGGCGGCGGTTTTTGTTTAGTTGTTCAGACCCATTTAGCACCGGGCTAAAAAGGCACATTCCCGGTAGAGGTGTAGACAAACTGGGGCAGCCTGTTGAGGGTCCTTAAAATGGCGGCAACAAATTGCAGGGTCCAAGAAAAGCAGCCCCGAGTGAGAGTACCCTCCCGAAAACAAGCATAGAACCGGCACAGGGGTTCCTGGAAGACGGTGTTCCCTTTATAAGGGAACCCCTGTGCAGATTTGATGTTTGTTTTTGGGAGGGTAAGTTGGGCTACACCTGAAGGGATGCGTCGGGGCTGGTTGGTTTTGGTGGATGCTGCTGGGGTGCCTTTTGCGATGGCACTTCCAAATGTTCAGATGTGTGAGTGCGAGTGTGTGTTTTCATCACTCATAATGTTGACCAAGGGACCGAAGGGGGGAAGGGGGAAGGGGAAGGGGGAGGGGGGATCATGTTCATCATCATGGTATCAATATGCACGGCGCAAGTTTGGGAATAGGGGATGGGAGAATCCCTGAAAAGCAGTGGGTGGTGCTGCCTTTTTTACACGCATACACACTGTGTATATATATATATACAGTATACACAATCATTTCGTTCCCGGTCTCCGGTCCAGTGCCCCCACCCACCCCACCCCGGCCAATGTATTCATTCATCCTATGAGCACACAGGCAGGTACAACTTAGTTCCCAACAACAACATTCGGCGGGGTTGGGGGACCGTCCCTGATTTGGCATTAGGGGGGGGCTTGGCAAACATGGAATAATTTAAAATAAATACATATCATCATATCATGTACTCTTTACCTTTATGCCTCCGCACCTCTAAAGGCTTTTTGCTTCCCCATTTGGCAAACAAACCAAACAGGCATCCATCCTTCCCCTTTGGCCAGTGGAGGGCGTGGACAGTTGAAGGCGAGAACGGCATCAGCTTGTTGATCCCAAGTTGAGAATCGTGGCGGACTAATTGGGGGTGCTTTCCCCAACCGTGAAGGATTCCGTATTCATCGGCCCGGTGTGCATTCATCCCAGATTCCGCTTACACATCATTGGGATCCAACAATGGGAAAGTCGGTGGAACAGAGCATCAGATTGCGTTTTTCAGCCCGAATGCAACAAATTTGGAAAACCATTGTATATAAGGTCCCTATGACAAGAACCCTGACACTGGAGTTTTCCGCATTTCTGGGGGCCTGGTCAAAGTTATTTGAATGACCAGGGCAGCGCCGGGTTTTTGCACTCATCCCCTCTGGCTTTGCGCATGAGGTGCTGCCGGACGTGGTTACCTACAATAGGCTCATCACGATGGTCGCTTTTGTACCTCCCTGAAAGCGAATTTGGGTCTGTCTTTTTTTGGGGGGTACCCCCTTTTTTGGTGGTCTTTAAGGGAAACCACAAGGAAAACCACATTTTTTTTGGGGTCCCCTAAAAAAGACACACCCATTTAGAGTGTAATTTTGAGGAGGTCACTTTAATGGACCCAGTTGCTGTCTGAGGACCAGGACCAGGCCCGCCGTTGCTTTTCTTTTTTGTTTGGCGGGCTCCCCACTCAAATGATCAACCCCGACAAGGCTTCAGGCTTTGGCCATTTTGAGGGCCCAGCCCGAGTAAGAAGACGTGCATTTTCTGAATGAGTCCAGCTGCTTACAGCGCGTTTCCATCCCCCGCAAGCAAAACATATAAACAGAGAGAGAGAGTTTCTTCCAAAAATGCATCACTCTCCAGGGTGCCTTCCCCAGGTGCTATTTGGCTAGAAAATCATGCTTAGCAAATTGTTTGTCGCCGCGGTCGGTTTTTGGTTCGTTTGGGGTGGGGGGCTGGGCGTGCACATGGGTCGGGTTGATTTTCTGGGCTGGAAATGGAGGGTTGTTGAGCCAACAGTTCGCCTAAGGTCGATCCTCCGTTCAGGCAAACAAATCCCGCACGGGATGGGGGTGTGCAGCTATTTGGGTGAGTCTTCTTTCGGGGCCCTCCAAAATGTCCGGTTTTCTTTTGGTTTCCCTTTAGAGCCAACAAAAAAACGGGCTGCCCTCAAAAAAAGGACACCCATTTGTTTGGGTGAGGCAGCAAGTAGCTCCCTGGGCCCCGGTGGATCCAGCCCAAGAACGGGAACCATGGGCGCCAGGTCCATCCTATTAGGTAACTAAGCACACCGCCGTTTCAAAACAAGGCAAAAAGGATGATCATCGGTGCCATTTTGATCGTTTAGTTTGGTTAAGAGATGGCTTCCGTACTGGTTTAGATTGGTTTTTATAAACAATTTACCGCCTCTATTTTTCCACAAGAGACAAATTCTAGCGAGCTGACCTGGAGCCAAAACGAGCTCACCTGTGATGCACATCCTTTGTGGGCTGGTTGCAGCTGCGCTGATTCTCATGCATTTGGGGAATGCTTTGGCCACTTTACACATGGAAGGGAACACCCTCATGCAGAATGTGTTTCTGTTTTCGTTGCACCTTCGCCCTGTGAGGTCGTTGTGTTCCGAATGTGTGGCAACCTTCGATTATTCAAGTTGGCTCCCCACTACATGATTGCCTTCAAGAACAGCCCTTCACCCTGCGCCGGGCAATTCAGCTCCATATATAGGTCCTTGCCCTTCCGCAGGCCTTCCAGTGGCAACCTGCCTTGCGCCAGCTGTCCTGCATGGCAGAGGCGTGCTGATATTCATGACGTGTTTCCAGCTGACCGGGATCAAAAGGGGATCCTGCATCTTTCTTGCTGGCACCCGTTCTTTTTTGCGGGAAGTGCGTATGGCCGACACCATCACCTACAACGCTTGTATCAGCGCGTGTGAAAAGAGTGGCCTCTGGACGCTCGCAATGCTGCTCTTCAGTCAGATGCTTTCGAGCGGCCCGGCCCTGGGCGGGGTCGGTGCGGAAGAGGCTCCCTAATATGCTCCGTTTTATTGTTGTTTTTACCGCTGGGGATTATCAAAGTCAGCAACTGGGGCTGTTTCCCTTTAACTTTCTTGGGGGGGTGACTTTGATGATAAAACAATGAAGCCAGTGTTTGGTGGCTAGAAATTTGAAGCACGTCTTTGTTCAAGTTGTTACAGGGGGAATCCATAGCCCTGAGGAAGCACGAGGCAGCCTTCGCAGATATGTGCACTGAGCAGGGCGCTCCAATGATGTGAGCAATGGACAACGTTGGCATCATAGGCCTCTATCGGTTTGCATCGCCCTATCGCCTGCTGAGTTTCCTGGCCATATCTCAGAAGAGTTAATGTGCATTTGTTTGCTGGCACCCAGCCTGCGTGCGGAATGCATTCGACGTGCACACAAAGGCAATACTTGGCTTAACTTGGCTTAATTACACTGCCTTCCTTATGCTGTTGTTGGCTTCCATCATATGTCATTTCACAAGCCAAGCGCGTTTTGTGTTGCACCTGGCCCCTGTTTGGCCAAGACCGGTACCATTGGCCGGACTGCCGATCCACTGCTTGCGGCTTTGAATCCTTTCCTTTTCTCATGTCAGCTTCCCTCGAGTTGGTTTGGAGCCCGGTGGTGAGGTTTTCCGGGGGGGGGAGCCAAGAAGGGGTTATGTTGCCCCAGCACCGCAACATTCAACACCTGCACCTCTGCTTGTGCCAGAGGCAGGGCTTGGGCCATTTCACTGAGCCGTCAGAGCTCCCAGTGTTCCTCTTCTTTGGCTTGTTTATTGAGTTCTGGGGTCTCCTCCAAATCTATGACATATTTTAGTGTAGGCTAACTAGGAAACAGCATCAGAAAATATGTGTTTGGAGTACCCAAGATGTGGGCCACTTGTTCCTGTGCCATCACTTTGCCTTCAGGTTTGCCACCCCAACTTGGATTCCATTGATATGTTCATGTTTCCTTTTGTCGTTGAAATAAGACAAAGGTGGAATTGAGGGGCCTTAGCCCTACTCCGGTCGGGTGCTCGCTTGTGACCTGTTTTTTTGATCGCTTGTGACCTGCCCTAGTTTCACGCTTTTGATGCACGCGCCCGCGCACCTTTGCGCCCAGGCACCCAGTCACCCAGTCACGCACGCGCCCACACGCCCACACAGCTGATGACACACCCACGCACCCACGCGCTCGTGTGCTGCCTGCGTTGCCTAGCGAACGCCATCATTCCCCCCCCCCCCCCACTCCCTGAGACCGAATGCCCGGGTACCTTATCCCCGAAGGGTGCAGGTCCCGTGTGGTAGTGGTTCTATTGGCGGTCCCTGGATCTATTCTGCAAGGAAATCCAATGTGTCAACGGTGGGTTGATTGTGGATGGATAGTCCTGGTAATAATTGTTGTTATAGTCCCTGTAAAGCGGTCTGCTGGGCCTTTC